TTATGAGTGCCTCATCCATTTTTAAATTACACATGACTTACCCAAATTTTCCACATATAGTCTGTATTTTACTTGAAAAAAATTATTGGAAGAGTTAATCCTTAGAGGTGGGAAATAGAGTTCTTGAGAGGTAAGTGAAATAACACAATGATGCCCCAGTGTTTCCTGGTGGAGTAGCTATTGATTTTATTGGGTTATCTCTAAGATTATGAAGAATCCTGATCTTTGAACAAAGCCAAAAAATACTTTACTTCTGCTTTATATATCACTAGGGCCAAGGCTAAGTATATGAATAGATGAGATATGGTGCCAACTTCTAAATTACAATGTTTTTGGAGGACAATGTTTTGAGAGGACTAATGAGACCCTCCTAACCAAAATAATACTCTCCACTTTCATCATAATGCCTAAAATTCAGTTAGTGGCAATTTTTCCAATTACATTACTAAGATGTTTAGTCTTAGTCTTCTCTTGAGATGTCAACGTCCAGAGGATAGGGAAGCTCTCCAGGTGGTTACCACCAGCTACCTTAGGAGAAATCATTAATGTAGGTTTTTTAGGGGAGTAGGAGGTGGGAAGGGAAGGGAATACTACAAAAGAAGGGAAGAGAATACCAGAATCTGCCCAAGCTGGCCATAGCCACGATCTAAGAACTCTGCACTCAAAGTGTTACCAAACTTGGCTGCAAGCAAAGTTGCAAAATAGTAATTGCTAACTGCATTAAATGCTATCTCCCTTCTCCCTACAACAATAGCCCTGCCCTGCTCATGGGGTGGTAATATCATTCCAAATTTACAAGTGTAGGATGTGAGGGGTTGGGCTGAAAGTGAGATTCAAGACTCGGTGCCAGATCTGTGGGACTCATTACACTGCCTCTGTTTCTCCCCTCTGTTTCTTTCACCAAACTTCTTTTTGGTATTTGACATTGGCCTCTTCTTCCCTGCCCCCACTACCCCTGACTTTCCATCTCAGAAGCTGTGTGCTCTCCTGGCACCCTGTTGTTCAAGATCTCTCACTTTAGAGACCCCTTTCTGATGGGCTTCAGACTCCTCTCCTACTGCTTCCCTCAGAAGCAGTGCTGGGATTTAATTCAAGGTGGGTGCAGAGGGAACTGAGACACCCCTGGCACTATTGTGAGCTTAGCAGGAAGTCCAACGAGATGAAAAGTTAACACTGCACTGACTTAGTAGTAAGCATCAGGCCATTACTATATGCACATTTATTGTGTAGCCAATGAAAGCTTACTCTCCACAGGGTACTATGGTAGATGTTGGACATTGGCAGAGTTGGAGAAATCTGAGAGCATGCAGTGGAGACAGAACCCTATAGCTGGGAGTTTAGAAGCAAGACTATGATGTAGGAGAAATAAAGCACAGAAAAAGAATATTGTGCTGGGACCCAAAACAGTGGTCCAAACCTGGAATTGGAGTATAAGAAACACAGCAAGAGCCTGATTGCCTGAGTAGGACTCAAGGTGAAAGTCAGCTGAGCAGCAAGTTTACCTTGATCTTGTACTACTTATCTGAGACTCTCAGTTTCTGCTGGCTTACTAGAGCTCAGCCTGCAGCTGATGATCATATAGGCTGGGCCACTGTTTTTCAAACTGCAGGTCATAACCCATCAGTGGTCATGATATTGGGTTAGTGGGTGGCAAAGAGCACTCTTTAAAATAAGTAAAATAGCCCTAGCTGGTTT